CTGTAAAGAGTAAGATGGAGGTTTTGATTGTAGTTGTTGTATTAAAACTTTAAATGGCTTTTGGCAGAATACTCATTTCACAATATTATTTCTACCAATCATTGAGCATAATTAATTGATTATATTTTCTAGTGTCTTTATCTTGTCCTCCAGAGGTTTAAAGTTTTCACTGTAAAGGTCCTTCACCAATATAGATAGATAGATGATAGATAGATAGATAGATAGATAGATAGATAGATAGATAGATAGATAGATAGATAGATAGATTAGATGGTGGTAGTGATAGATAGAAAAGCTCTTGATCTTTACCATTTCACATCACTCACGTTCTTGACTGTTTTTACAAGTCTTCCTGTAGAATATCTGGAATTTCTAACATATACTATCATGTCATCTACAAATAGACATAGTTTATTTTCCCCCAATTAGTGTCCCTTCAATTTCCTTTTCTTGACTTTGTTTTCTGGCTAGTGCTTAAAAAGTACTTACAGTATTGAAAAGATGTAGGGGTAAAAGCTCAGTTTTTATAAATGTGATTCTAATATTCTTTCCTCTTTCATGCAGCTTTATGAGCTACAATTTTTGATCATTCCTTTCTGATTGAAAGCTTCTTGTTTGTAGCCTCTATTTTACAGTGTGTCTACCAGCAACTTAGATTTATCTTGCCTGAACAACATCTTTGTTTCCCCTCCTTTCACTGCATATTAGAATTTTCACTTAGCAGTTATGCACATTCAACACTTTAAAAATATGACTTAAGAGAGTTTTCAAAGTTTCAGATGAAATTTCACTGTCATTTAACTGATTATTGCCATATAGTTAATGTCATTCTTTCATTATTTTCAAAACTGACTTTGAGAGATCAAAATATTAAAATTCAGTGGCTATTATTTTAAAGTTTAAAGCACAAACCTAAACCAAGCCAAATGAAGATATGTCCAGCCACCTTAGGGGAAGATCTAAGCTTAATGTCCTGAGGGGAAGAACTAGCCTTACTTCATTCTTTCCCCGCCCACTAGTTATAAAGTTGCTAGAAAACCGGCCAATATGACCAGGCCAGAACTGTTTATGGTCTTGGTGCCTAAAGAGGACCAATCATTTCAAAAGTCAATTTCTGTTACCCAGTCATGTAATGCCAAATCATGTAAGTCCTTGCTTGCATTTTTTCTCTTTAAAAACTGTGTACCCCCTAGACCTCCCAGCCGTGTTCCTCTCCTGTTTCCACAGAAAGTTTGTGTTCCATGTTCTAGTGCATATACAATTAGAAAAAAAAAAAAACCTCATGCATTTACAGCGGAGTCTATTTTTTCCTGGTCTTTTGGGGTTTGCGAACTGGGCATAACAACTTTTGTCTAGAAGTTTTATTATATAAACATACATATGCATAATCTCCAAAGTTTTATTATATATAAATACTAAATACATAAATTATATAAACACACACAAATATATATCCTTGTGTGTATTTGTTTGAGTTTATTCTATATTAATTGTTAAGTGGTCATCATATTTGGTGATTTTTTTTTAATTTGTGAAAATTTCAACCTTTGCTCTTTTTTTTTCAGTATTTCTTTACACTTTTTTGTTTGTTTAATGTGACTTTGATGTTTATATTGCTTGATCTGTTATTTTTAGCCCCGAAGTTCTCTAGTCATTGTCTTGTTTCTGTCTATTTTAGTCTAATTTCCCTACTATTTGAAATGCATTCATTAAATTGTTTTATCCTCAGGTTCAGTGATTTTCCTAATTTTCTAGTAATCAACATATCCAGTGAATTTTGTTCATTTATTTAGTTATTTTTATAGATACCATTTGGCTCTTAAAATAATTTATTTGAGCTTAATATTGTTACTTCCAGCTCTAATGCCAGCATTCTGAAGGCAGAAGCAAAATAACTTCAAGCTTAAAGCCAGCTTTGGCTGCATGATAAGTTTCAGGCCAAACAGTACTATAGAGAAACTGTCTTAAAAACCAAATTTCCCAATAAAAAAGTCATTCATTTTCTGTGATGTTTTCATTTTCTCTTATATTTAAATGTAATTTGTAATTGTCAAAGCAGTTTTTATAGATGCTTTAAAATTCTTGTTAAATAATTCCAGTAATTGATTCATTTAGCTTGTGGTGTCTGTTGATTGTTTTTCATTAATCTAATTTTATTGATTCTTGTTATCATGGGTGTTTTATAGTGTCTGATATTGTGTTTTGTTATATCTGATTTTTTTTTTCAGGAGACTCAGAGTCCTACTAAATCTTCCATTTTCACAGGCTGGCCTTCTTTGTGGATATTTGAAAGACTAATTTTCTGTATCCTTGTTTCATTAATTAGTCTATATTGTTTTTAGAATTGCTGTGTCTTGCCTTACTTTGCTAAAGTATTTGATGTGTGGAAAAATGTTTCCTGGGGAACTCCTCATGTGAAGTAAAAACATCTCCACGTTTTGGAGATGAAAGATATTTCTAAGATTGCAGAATACTACCTGCTTGCATACACGCAACCATCCAGTATTATGTAGCAGTATTCATAGTGCCACAAGATAAAGGGGCTACTCGGAATGAGTATTTACATCAATAACCCTATTGATCAGGTCCTTTAAAACTCAATATCTCTATGCATGGAGAAGTCTCATAACCTGTTTGACATAAAAATTTCTCACTTTTAAAATTAAGATGATAATACAATCTTAGAAGTTTTTATGGAGAATAAACAAATATAAAAGACCCTGAATGCAAGGAGTTTTTTTCTTTGATACTTTTAATCATACTCATGGCAGAATCATAATATATAAGAGTTGCTTGATAAATATTATCTGAATTAATCAGTAAAATCAAACAAAATGCTTAACAATCAGTAAATTTACTATTCAATTATCAGTGAATTTTGGCAAACTTCCATCAGTTTTCTATAGTGAGTGAGTTAATACGGACTCACATTTTGTTGTTCTGAAACCAGTGCCCAACTTATTTCAGAATGCATAACAATACCTAATGTTATTTGTTCATTAAGAACTTACTATACAATAGGCATGATGACAACATCAGCAGTATTTTGTTTTACCCTAGGTCCTTAGGATATCTAGTCGCATGTTCTTGGTCTCCCAAGCAGTGTTGGGTATGGTTTCTATCTCCTGGAGTGGACCTTAAGTCAAATCAGATATTGGTCGGCACAAGCTTTGTGCCACCATTGCCTTAGCATATCTTGCAGGAAAGACGCCATTTTAGATCAGGGTTTGTACCTCAGTTAGTGTTTATAACTTCTCTTTTGGCATTGTACAGAGCACCTTCTGATACTAAGAATGCTAGTCCTTATGGGTGAAGGCTCTAAGTGGGTACCTGCTGGAGTTCTCCATGTTTAGCGAGTTGTGAAGGTGTTGTCTTCAAGAATGGATCTTTGCTGTCAGTTTGTGGCTCACAATCTATAGTCTTGGAAATAGCTTAGGTTGTTTACGGGCTCCCTTAGGACCCCTTTGACCAACAAATCAATTAAATATAACCCAATTCTGCTACTGGAGGATTCATTTTGTGACAAGGGATGGCCAGTTAGTGGTCTGACTCCCCATCATTTGGTGAATTCATTTAGATTGCCTTCAGGTATGTATATACTTTAGGAAATTCTACTGTATTAAGTTTACATACTACCCCTCAAATGACGCTTAATTTTAGTTGTTTCTCCCTACATTATCCCACTCATATCACTCTCTCCTACCTCACTCTGCTTGATATTCCTACTCCAAAACTCCAACCAGTCCATCCAATACTATCCTATTTTCCCTTTATAGAGAGACCTATCGATCCACTCTTTGGATTATAGCTTGATTGTAACTTATTTAACAGCCAATATCCACAAATAAGCAAATGTATACTATAGTTGTGCTTCAGATGCTTTTTTTCTGGTTCCATCCATTAACCTACTGGTTCATTTTTTTTTAACAGGTGAGAAATACTCTATTGTGAAAATGTAACCATATTTTCTTTATTCATTCATCTGTTGGAGGAAATCTAGGTTGTTTCCAATTTATGGCTGTTATTAGTAGAACAGCATTGAACATTGTTGAGCAAGTGTTTCTGTGGTAGAATAAAGCATCCTTTGCATATATCCTAAAAGTAGTGTAGCTGTTACCAAATCTTGAGGTAATTTGATTCCCATATTTCTAAGGAACCACCACACTGATTTCCATAGTAGGAGAGCTATAATAATCTTTACAGAAAATCTATTCCATTCTCTTCAAGTATTCAGTTCTCTTTCTCCCAGAAAGAATAGATTGGGGGTAATAGACATACTAGCAGTGCATTGATATCAGACCTGAAGAAAAGGCCAGATAGATTCATTACCCAATGGATGTTAAAATATTTTTACTATGACTTAGAATACGAAGTATTTTTTCATCGTTATCAATCATCTACTAGCATGTGTTTTACCTTGGAAAGTTTTAATTAAAATGGTAGGTACTAAGTATTCTTTTTATATCAGATACCTGCTAGTACCCACCCATTGGTATACTATAAAATCATTTTTTCTTGTATTCCTTATACTTAATAATGATCAGTTGTCATGTATGGCCTCTGCCGTAAACTAAAGTGAAGTGTATTATTTCTTGGGAATAAATGTACTTGATGTGCCTGCCATGGAAGCACAAGATGAAACCTTTCATGAATGGGATACTTCATTGTGGCTAATGTAGGGCACGGCCCTCTTTTAATTTCTAATAGGCAGAATGTGAGAATAAAACAAAAGATAATCTGTTGTTTTCATACAACTTAAATTTATTTTTTTCATAGTATAATCTTGATTATACTATGCACTTAGATTTACTTCATTTTAGGTCATTATTCTGTTTAGTTACATTTTAATTTTCAGTGCTGGTTATAACACGGTAAATTGATTTAATGACCCAATAATGTGGTTGAAACTTGTAGTTTGAAAAAGATTGCCTTACGTTGTATTCCTTTCACTCATAGCAGATCCTTTCCCTAAGCTTTTATGAATACTTTTTATACTTCAGGATTGTGGTTATGGAGAAGGTGGAGATGCATACTGCACAGCTTGCCCACCCCGAAAGTATAAAAGCACATGGGGGCATCACAGTTGTCAGACTTGCATCACCTGTGCTGTCATCAATCGGGTCCAGAAGGCCAACTGCACAAATACCTCTAATGCTATCTGTGGAGACTGTCTGCCCAGGTAAGCCTACAGAATGTTATTGTTATGCCCAAATCTCGTAATCCTCAAAGACCACCAAGGAGCTGATTCTGATGCATATGCAGTAGGGTCTTTTTATTATAAGCTAGAGCTCAGCATAAACCCTCACCAAAGCAGGTGTTGAGTGTAGAGACTTGAGCACTGGAGGAGGAGGGTTTTTATTTAGGGATGCAGCACAATTGGGAAATTCCAGCTAGGCAATGTTATGATCCACTGATGTTTAGCAAATATTCGTTGTCCAGCGGAAGTTGTTTACCCAGAGGGCCAAGCCAAACCGTAATTATTTACTCATCCTATTGGAAAGAACACCATGGTAAATTCCAGGTATTCATTGATTAGCCATTTCAAGGGGTGATGGTTAAATACTACAGCATTTTTTCCAGGCTTTTCCTTGGGTAGGGGACTCCATTGACTTCTTCCTGGAATTGGTGACCTATGACCTAGTTCCTGGGTCTGGTGACTTTTAGGGTAGGGAGAGAGTCAGGCATGGCTCTTTCTTACCCCCTGGCCTTCTGAAGGCCCAATCATAGGAATTCCAGATATGATCCCTCAGTAATCTCCAGATTTACCCTTCCATAATTTGATCTGAGTATCAATAACTGCATTGCTCCCAAGTGATTCTTCATAAAAGCTACCAACTGATTTAAAAAGCAAGGTACACATGTAAAAACCAAAGTGAATAGGGGTCCGATGTGGGTGGATATAAGGGTAATAAGCCAAGGAGAACTATTATACCAGGATTCAAACCATCTTTTGGAATCCTCTCTCTCTTTTTCTGGAGTCTCTCCATGCTTTCTCTTACTCTTGCTAATCACTCTCAAGTAGTTTACATAAAAGCAACATTCCCCTCTTAAGGGCTTCACAGAGTCTGCCCTGCTGGAAAAACAACAGATCCAAGCCTCTTCTGTTTTGCAACACTACTCCTGCCAGGAAATAAACATTTTTTTTTCCTAAATGGGTGATTGAGTTCTCAAGGAACTGAATATCTTCATCAATATCTGCCTTTAAACTGTTATAATTCTGGCTTTGTACAGCCAATGCTGCAATACCTTTTCCTGCTCCAGCTAAGCTGGTAACCAAGATAATAGCTAATGTCAGGGAGCCCCTTTTGACTTAACATTTCAGCCTGTTAAGTAAGATAAAAGCTGGGGAATTTTTCTACTTCTGTAGCTTCTTCAAGCTTACGTTAGGATGAAGATATTGGGACCCAGAAAGGCTGAAAGCTAGGCAATGGGGCACTTATTAAAACCATCTAACTAGTGATCCAGTTGAAGAGACAAGGAGCCATCACATCAGCTGGACTGGTTTACTTCAACTTTCAGCAAGGCCAGGTCTCAGCGTGCAGTCCATAGATTATCACTGAATGGAGTCTGTCATTCAGGTGAAAAATCTGCTAAGAAATTCAGACTAGAGACAGAAGTTAAAATTTGCCTAGTGATTAGGGAAAGTGGGGAATCCCAAGACCAAGGGAAAAATCAGGCTGGTATACTCATTTAGAAAGAGCAGGTAACAGGTGTCTGCAAGACAGCAGGAGTAGACTTATGCCATTAAGACCTAGTAAAAGCTAAGGCTTTAGGGTCAGAGATATTAGACAAGGATGTTTTTAGCATGATGAGAAGTACTTTTAAGTCTATCTCCAGAAGACAAGAAAGGGAAATTAAAATCAAGCATGCGGCTGAATAGTAAGTAGTCAGGGCTCCATCAGTTTTTCAGAACTCTATTGGTCAATGTCAAACCCCTGAACATTTGCAATCTAATAACAACATAAGCACAACAATAGCATAAAGAGGAGAGAACTCTGAAATATCTTTCATATTTAATATGCCTTAAATTATTTTTATATTATCACAATTTGCATTTACATACCTTAAATTATTTTAGACCCTTAAACTTGTTACAATTTACATTTACCAATTTTAAAATACCTATTTATACCCTCCAAACTTCCTTGCATTTACCAACTTTAAAACACCTCTTAAGAGTTTTATTTTTCATAACTTTTCATTTATTAACATTGAAACATCTCTTTACAGCCTCAATTTTTTAAATATTTATTATTTAAATTTTATATCCTCAGAACTTACATAAACTTTACATTTTTTATCCAGGTTTTCACTGTAAGACACAGTTAATATGAAGCCTGTGAGCAAGCAGACCTTTTTTTCCTTTCTAAATAAGAGATCTAATAACTAGTAGTTCTAACTCACTAATGAATCGACCAATGAATTAACAGTGGATCTCATTGTCAGCTCTTTAACTGCAAAGCTACTATTAGCTTAGCTTAGCCATCAATGTGATCAGAGATCTGAGAAGGATAAATTATAAGCTAACTGAATCTGTGTGCCAATCAAAATGACAGAGATGAATAGTCAGTCCACCACCTAGGCAGTTGTCCCTGGGTCCTGTGGTTTCATGGCATCACAATCAGAGGCAGGCCAGCCATCAGGCTCAGTAAATGAGAAACTCTTTCTGTGCAAAAGAAGAACATGAGAGTATGACTTCACTGTGCCTTCAGCAACACGGAACAATGACTATTCAGTTTTGTCAGGTTTAGGCTGGGCCGTAGTAGTGGGCCAGTTGTGGCAATCTAGCCCAGTGGTTATCATACCACCATCCATAGCTGTAGTCCTCTGTCATTATGCCCAAATCTTCTTAGAGACTTTGGGGAGCTACTGCCATGATTTTGGGATGCTCTGTCTGTGATATTAAGCTTATACATGTTAAAATGCCATATTCCAAAGATCTCTCATAAGCTTGAGAGCCATAATATGGGTTTCTGTAAAACATAACATTTTTTTCTTTTCAGTTTCTTTTTTTATTTTTTATAATTTATACACCTTATATTCTGATTGTAGACTCCTCCCATATATTCTCCTGGTCACACACACCCTCCTTCTTCCTCCCTACCTCTCCCCTAGTCCATGGAGAAGGGGCATCCTCTTCCCCTACCATCTGACCCTAGCCAGTTAAGTCTCATTAGGACTGCCTAGATCCTTTTCCTCTGTGGCCTGGCAGCCCTGCCCTCACAATGAGAAGTGATCAAAGAGCAGGGAGCTGAGATCATGTCAGAGATAGTTTCTGTTCCCCTTAGAAGAGCACCCACATGGAGACTGAGCTACCTATGGGCTACATTTGAGCAGGGCATCTAAGTCCTTTCCGTGGATGGTCCTTGGTTGGTATATCATTCTCTGCAGAGCTCCTGGGTCCAGATTTTTTTACTTTCTTTGTCTTCTTGTGGAGCTCATGTTCCCTCCTGGTCCTTCTATCCCCAACTTCGTCTATAAGACTCTTTGCCCTCTGACCAAAGTTTGGCTGTGAGTCTTAGCATTTTCTTCAATACCCTGCTTTGTAGAGTCTTTCAGAGGAAATCTATGGTAGGCTACAATCCTGTTCATTGTTTTCACCCATTTCCAATGTCTGTTTTGTTTTTCTATGAATGAGAATTAAGCATCCTTCCTAAGGTCCTCCTTGTTATTTAGGTTCTTTGGGTCTGTGGATTTTAGTATGATTATCCTGTATTATACAGCTTAATCATCTTATAAGTGAGTCTATTCCAATCGTGTCTTTAACCGTTCTTTGGTTGAGGGACATCTGGGTTGTTTCAAGATTCTGGGTATTATGAATAAAGCTGATATGAACATAGTTGAGGAAATAGCCTTGTTGTATGGTGGAGGAGCTTATTTTGGTATATGCCTAGGAGTGGTATAAATGGGTCTTAAGGTAACACTATCCCTAATTTTCTGAGAAAGTGCCAGATTGATTTCAAAAGTGGTTTTCAAGTTTACATTCCTACCAGCAATGGAGGAGGGTTCCTTGTTCTCCTTTCTCCACATCCTCTCCAGCATGTACTGTTACTTGAGTTTTCTAACTTAGCCATTCTGATAGGCGTAAGACTGAATCTCAGAGTCATTTTGATTTGCATTTCCCTGATGAATAAGGAAGTTAAACATTTCTTTTTTAATTTTTATTTTTTTAATATTAATCATAGGTTATTTACTTTGTATCCCAGCCTTAGCCCCCTCCCTCACAATCCCACCCTCCATCATCTCCTCCCTACCTCTTTCCGGTCCACTACTAAGGGAGATCCTCTTTCCCTTCCATCTGAACCTAGCTTATCAGGTATCTTCAGGACTGGCTGCCATGTCCTCTTCTGTGGCCTAGCAAGACTCTTCCAATCTTGGGGGTGGGTGGAGGTAAAGGACCCAGCTGTTGAGTTCATGTCAGAAAAAGTTCCTGTTCCCCTTACTAGGAAAACCCACTTGGTTACTGAGCTACCATGGGTACATCTGAGCAGAGGTTCTAGGTTATATCCATACACGGTTCTTGTTTGGAGAAACAGTCTCATAGAGGGCCCCCGTGCCCTGATATATATTTTTCTTGTGAGCTCCTGTCTTCTCTGGGTCATACTAACTCCCCATTCTTTCATACAATTCTCTGCACTCTGCCCAAGGTTTGGTTATGAGTCTTAATATCTGCTTTGATACACTGCTAGGTAGAGTCTTTCAGAGGCTCTCTGTGGTAGGTTCCTGTTCTTTTACTTGTTTTCTCCTATTGCCCCTATCCATCACATTTGTCTTTCTAAGTGAGGATTGATCTTCTTACTCCAGGTCCTCTTTCTTGTTTATCTTCTTTAGGTGCACATATTTTAGTATGTTTATCATATCTTATACGTCTATATAAGTGAGAATAGCACCATGTGTGTCTTTCTGCTTCTGGGGTACCTCACTCAGGATGACCTTTTCTAGATCCCACCATTTGCCTGCAAATTTCATAATTTCCTTGTTTTTAATTGCTGAGTAGTATTCCATTGTGTAAATGTAATACAATTTCTGTATCCATTCCTCTTTGATGGACACCTGGGCTGTTTCCACTTTCTGGCTATTATGAATAAAGCTGTTACAAACATGGTTGAGCAAATGTCCTTGTTGTGTACTTGAACTTCTTTTGGATATATACCTAGGAGTGGTATAGCTGGATCTTGA